GATCAGAATTCTCATAAAGATATTGGGCTTGTCAAATATATTATTCAGCTGATATAAAATTATTGCCATAATGCAGAAACTTATCTAAAAGTCTCTTCCTGTAAGAACAGATTAGATAGATAGATAGATAATGGTTTTTAAACAAAGATATAAAATATGTATACAAGAAAAAAAGATGAAAAAATCCAAATTGTCTTCCTCTTGTATATCTGCCATTTGAAGGTTTAAGTCAGTTTGGCTCATGAAATAAATGTGAGATTTAAAAAAAGATAAATCAACATGGAAATATAAAAGTCTTGACTTGAACAGTGATCTAAACATATCTGGAAGAATCAAAACAAAATTGTTGCATAATTATCAGAACCATGCTGAATTCTTAAGCTATTTCTGATTCCTATAGCCTGTCAAATTCTCACACTATTTCCATTTAGAAGTGCCTGCTTAAAACATTTTTAATGCAATTAGAACTTGCCAACTGAAATAAATAACTTTGCGCTTATTTTTGCAACTTTGCTTTCATAAACTTTTTAAGCACCATGTAATTCCTTTTGTACTCCTGATCTAAAATACAATTTTCAGGATAAAAATACTCTAGTTCTTGGTTCAACATGCTTTCAATTTCACGTTCTAGACTATTTATGCACTGTTGAAAGTCTAAGGTATCAGAGTCAAGGCCATATGAATTTCAACCTGGAGAATAACAACATGATATTTGGTTCATTTGCTCCCCTACCAAACATAAAGGCCACAGGATGATCCTATAAAATTTGAAGATTTAACAAAAATAAGCTTAGAATTACATTTTAATAGCTCGCAATACACGGAGGACAGCGATAGAGGTACCACTGAATAGTTCTACAGTGTTATTGCAAGATGTGATCTCTTAGGAACAGTTTCAATTACAAGTTTTTAAATCAGAACAAGCCTAAAGAATAACCCAGCTTTCAGTTTTACCAGAAAAACAAATAAGACATGTGAACAAACCAAACATAAGAAAAACTAAAACAAACCAGGCTCTACATGTACTTCCCTACCCCTACACAGGGAAGGCTTTAACAGAAGCCTTTGCTTCTGTTACTGTGTGTTAATTCCCTAAATGCCTCTTTCTTAATCCCATTCCACTGGGGGAAACTAATGTTTATATATGCATACACATATGTAAGTATATAGAGATATACACATACAAACAAAAATTTGCAGCTTCTCAAATTAGACACTGATGCAGCCAAGCCAGCCATGACTAACAAGGAAACTACCGTCTATCCTGACCACAGTGCATAAACACATCAATTTCCCAGACCTTTCAAAGATTAATATATAAGGTACTTCCTAGAAGAAGTTTCCATTATAGCTACATAAGAAATGGAGAAGCCCAAAATTTGACATACGTGCTTAAGTTAAATAGTCACACATGAAGTAAATCAACAATTAATTACCATAGCCATCAATGCTACAAAGCACAAGGAATTCCAAGTCTGTTGACCACATTTAAAAGCACAAGTAAAATTAAAACATTCCTTACTCATATCTCTTCCCATAGTTTCATTTTATCATATACCTCATCTCTTTCCAGCTATAGGAACATAGTACATCTCAGCAGATAACAATAAATGTCTTCTACACCAAAACACCAAAATCTTTCTTCTATTTATGGGGAAGATAGGCTAGCAAAGAGAAGAACTACCATACTATTCTCTATTAAATTACTGAAAATAAAATTGAACATAGGTTTAACCCAATCTGGTCTACCAGAGGAATGTATGAGTTAATTACATATGCAAATTTGCTGTTCTACATAATTGAAAAAGAAGCAGCATTCCATGCTCTAAAGCAGGATATGCATCTTTGTAAGAATTGTAGAAACCGTGACATATGGAACACTAGGAAAAGGTACTGGAAGATATCAAGGGAATAATTTTAAGACTGTCAATACTGCAACAGCCATATTTGAAATTCCCTGCCAACTTTGCTGACTATATAATAGAAAAAGTTGAGACTTCCCAATGAAAATGTAGTGTTGCTGCTAGGAACACACACCAAGACATAAGCATGGCTTAGCAAATTAAAACTCCTGGGCTCAGAATATTAGTATTGAGACTACAGTTTCACAGCTGGTTCTTCAGTAGCAATTATTTTAGACATGGCTGCCCTTCTGCCCAAGCCAGTTGTGTTCCCAGCTGCTTATGAAGTAACTCAGCAGCATCTGTACACTCGGCTGTTGCTGGCACAGGAGTGGAGATGGGTGACCTGGGCAAAGTAGGAATCTGGAGATGTCAACATTACAACGCTGATGCTGGAATAACTACTTGCTGGACTATATCTAAACAACAGAGGAAAGACAGCCACAAACAGCCACTCAAGCACAGGAGAAATACAAAACTGCTGGTGAAATGCATTAAGCAATATTAATCACTGAATTAAAGATCAGCAAATCAAACTTGAGAATACTGACATTTTCTCAACTGACAACTCTGAAAGAGATGCCTCTTACAACTACTTTAGAAAGGGATCAAATTAAAAAAAATCAAATGGGAAAACCACAGGCTCATCAATGCAAGCCACTAACCTTATCTTTCTTCAGAGACAAGAATGGAATTAAGTTCTGTAAAAACACAAAAAGTCAGGAAGATTGCTTCTTAATCTCTTAAATGCTTTGACTTCCATGAAGATAATGGATGCTTACTCCTAAATCATCCATAACTGTCACAAGCATCCTGTAAGTTTTGTATCACTTCAGTATATCTTGTATTTGCTATCCACAGATTCCTTTATTAAAATGCCACTTGTTCTTTGCTGAGCTCTCCTTTTTAAAAGGACATCAAGATTTAAAAAGAAAAAGACTAGCAAAATTTTAAGTTATTTGCATTCACTAATCACAGCTTAATCGTAAAGAAAAAGTGTCTTGACTAGTTTTATTACTACTGTTGAAAAATCTGTATCTTCAGATCTTAAGTATTCTACAAGCTAGAAAGAATTTTAAAATAAAATAACAAAAACCAAAGTAGATGTAAAGAATTTAGTCTTTACATCACAGTAACTGACTACTGCTACTTCTAAAAAACATTCATGCAAACTAAGAGCCCTAATACTTCTTGGCAATATTGTATGGAATAAATAATTACTAATTAATAGCTTTGATATCACACCTGTAAAGCCTCTACAACTTATCAGTTGATACCAACTGATCAAATAAGAGAGTCTCTAGTCATGTTCTGCCAAATACTTGTTAGTCTTCATACATGTTAGGCAAACACAAGATGTTAATAAGCTGACAATAAAAACATAGCTGTATTAATTTTCATACACTTCCATTCTAGCAGCAGCTACAGGTCACTGACCATGAAAGTATCAAAAGGACTCCAAACAGAGCAGTCAGCCAACTCCAAGGGGTAGATTAAAACAAAAGAGACCCTGAGAAAACTGGACTGCAAAGTCAAAATTCAGCTCATGGGTGACAAAAAACTATAGAAGTCCTTTCTCTATTACACATTTTATTCCCTGTGTCCAATGTATTCTAATCTGAAAGACTATACTGGGCTATAAATACCTCCAAACATAGTAGGAACATTAGTTCCATTGCTATCACAACAAAATTTTCTCCTTATTTCAAATGAGCAAGCTTAAGTTCTCAACCTTTGTAGTCTCATACTTTATGTTTACTTAATCTATTCTGAATTTAATATATTAAAAAGTAAGGTGGAAATAATTTTGAATACTTCACTTTAGAATAAGATACAACTACATTTATCATACTGTCATTTTATAAACAACCTAGAGGAAAGAATTGGCCACATGTTGCTATCCTTTTTACAGACAATTTTTTTTTAGCTCAGCTCCAATCAAGGAAGAAAATCTGCAACTGAAGAGCTTAGTAACAGAATCATTCATCTGTTGAACTAATGTTTTAATTAGCAGTTGTATAAAGCAAAGACATATTAAGAGACTTCATGAAAGACTATACCATTGTTGTGTGTATTACATTAACTTAATATGTAACTGATGACTACTGAATGCTATTAGGTTATCGTGGTTTGTACAGTTGCTCTATCATCTGACACCTTCTCCCCACCTGGGGAGGGGGGTCAGGAAAAGGAAAGGAGATTCATGGGTTGAAATAGAAATATATTTAATTTAAAATAATAATAAACTCTAATATTAACAACAATGTTACTAAAGTACAGAGGATTATACTCAGCCAATATTTTAGGGGAGTAGGCCTCAGGGTTAGGAAGGTAAGTCACTCTTGAGATTTCCTCCTCCTTTTCTCTTCATGGATGACGAAGGAAGAAGGAAAAAAGGAGGAAAAGGAGGGCCATCCCCAGCAAACTCCCCAGTTTATACTGAATGTGATGCTTATGGTATGAAATAAACCTTCTGCAGCTGGTTAACTCAAAACGGTTAAACACCTTGATCACTATGGCAACCTGCACACCAAGGCTGGCCACAAGATAAAAGTGTCTTATTGTTCCCATGGCATAGAGTGTTGTAGTCCTTACAAAACTGCAGTTTTCCTCAACAGAAAACCGACTCTAAAATTCTGTTGCAGTAAACCAGGACATCAGCTGAATTGCTTATGTCATCAAAACCTTTTTTCTTAAGCTTTTAACCAAAAATTACCAGAAGGAGCAGGAAAAAAACCCCAAATCTATTTTCAAACCACTTTTCCAACAAAGAAATACTCTCTAACAGTCAGTGCTGTAAAACTGAAATCAAAGTGATCATATTGTCACTGCTATATTTAAAAATGTAACACTTGAACTAAGTAGAATGATAGGTGTTTTCACGCATTAGAACAGAGGAAATACACCTGCACTCAGCTACAAGATGAAAAAAACCCAAATCATAACAATCATAAGCCTTTCAGTAATGAATCACATTTAGCACTTGAGGAAAAGACTTCAATAACATAATGATGCATGTTGTAAGGTAGGTATACACTTATTTGGAGTACACGGAAGAATAGAAGAAACACAACATAGAAGCATTTAATTAACACTCACCATCTGAATTGGTTTTTTGTGAAGATCTCGTTCAGTCACCAACTTTTCTTGGTCAGTGACATAGAGGCCTTTTTGTGCCAGGGCTTGTATAACAGCATCATGACCTAGAAGTGGTTTTGCAGCATCACTCTTGAGAATAAGGCTCCCAGCACGACAATAGAGTTCTGCAGACAGCAGCAAGTTAACAACAGGTGGTTTAATGTGCTCCTGGTCATACTGGTCTGTGTAAAATGGTTCTCGTAGTTCTTCTGGAACATTTTCTACAAAGACAAAAAAAAAGCAATAGTCATTATAGATACAGTATTAGGGTTTTGGGTTTTTGCTTTTTATATATATGTATGAACTCAAAATTCATCACAATCATAGAATGGTTTGGGTTGAAAGGGACCTTAAAGATAATCTGTTCCAACTCCCTGCCATGGGCAGGACACCTCCCACCAGACCAGGTTGCCCAAAGCCCAGTCCAACCTGGCCTTGAACACTTCCAACGAGGAGGCATCCACAGCTTCCCTGGCACAGGTTGCCCAGTGTCTCACCACCCTCACTGTAAAGAATTTCTTCCTAATACTTAATGTAAATCTACTCCATTTCATTTTAAAACCATTAGCCCTCATCCTATCACTACACTCCCTGATGAAGAGTATCCATCTTTCCTTGAACCCATCTTTCCTGTAGGCCCCCTTTGGGAACAGGAAGGCTGCTATAAGGTCTCCCTGGAGCCTTCTCTTCTCCAGGCTGAACAGCCCCCACTCTCTCAGCCTGGCCTAGTACAGGAGGTGCTCCATTCCCCTGATCATCCTTGTGGCCCTCCTCTGGACCCAATCCAACAGCTCCATGACTCTCAAAGTGGGGTCCCCAAAGCTGGACGCAGTATTATGTTAAAGAAGGCATATTGATGGGAAAGCCAGAGTTTTTATCAGTCATCGTGATAAAAAACACTGGAGGAAACTGCATATAAATATAACATTTGAACTATAAATAGAAACTTAAGAAAAATTCAAAAATAGTTCCACTCTGAAAAGGTCACACCAGAAGGCCAACCTGTGGTTTACAGCATCATTACTTTAAAATTTCTTGGCTCTTCCAAATACACGCCCAAACATTCGCATTTCCGTTGGCATAACATTATATAAGTCAGAGACATAAACACCCATTTAAACAAAAATTCTGTTCTAATTCTAATTAACTCTTACAGTAATAAAACGGAAATGGAACATTGTATTTTAGCATAGAATAATTCCAGACAAAAAGGGAAACTTTCACTCAGCAACCTTCTAGGTTTCATTTATACAAGAGAAATTTGATTACTGTACTGCCTATTTCAAAGGTCACACATCACAGAATGGTGACAATCCAGCAGTTAAGCATAAACATATGGATTTTTTACTAGAATTAAAAGAATGGAAAAAGAGGAAAACAATATTATCAATTTCCTTCTGCCAAAATATCAAATTCTTATTTGTCTATTAGCGTTACTGACTCCACTTAAAATGGTCGCTTTTCTCCTTTTTCAGTGAACTGGTTTAGCACCCACAGAATGCTATGCAATATTCCATCAAGTTTATGCTGATATTTTAACCACAAAATTAGCATTTTGAGCTAATCTAACACTTATACCAAATACTTTATACTACATAGTACAGACAGACTATATTTATAATTGTCTACCACAAAAGTAATAGTTATAAATTAATTAAATATGGTACTAGATCAAATGAAATTAAATAACCAGTGAAGTGGAAAATAACTTAAGACACAGTTTCAGACTACACATTTCTAGACATATGCACTGCAAGATGCTCCATTTTCCTCATGTAAGAATTTCACTCCCTATTGTTGTAAAATTAGTTAAGCCAAGAGCATTTATGGGATAGAGAGCATGTGATTCTTTTCCTGAGCCCAAATGGAAAAGGCTAAAACAAAAAAAAAGGAAGAAATATTAACACATACTTTCTCAAATGTCATAAGGATGGTAAAAAAGGATAAGATAGTGCTTATTGACAATTCAGAATATCAAGGGGAAGAGAAGTATAGTTTATAATTTGCTTAAACCAGGAGCCTGAATTTGGCTATAAAGCTGACAGCTCTGCTTTAAAATACAGATCAAAATATACTGCCAGCAAAACTAATTAGCCCTTTAAAATACAAGCCTAATGCCTAACAACATTACTTTTTTACAAGACAGTAATAAAACTACTAACAAAAAAAAAATCTACCAATGTCATGTAATGATATTGCAGTCTTCTCTTGTCACTTCCCAGCCTCACTTAATGACTCTACATGATACTATAAAAAGAACTTAAAATTAAAGAACTCTATGAGCTGCTAGGTACCTGCTTCCCTAGGTATTATTTCTATCTCAGTTCTACCTGTCCTTCTTTCTGTTACTTGTTTGTCCATACATTGTCTATTTAAATATTAAGTTCATTATTTCAGAAGTCCCTCACGAACCATCTCCACCTTGGTATCATGAGCTCAATCTTCATTGTGATTTTATCCTCTGTAATCCCAAATGCCAACTTTTAAAGCATTTCTGTGCTATTTCCTCAAGCGAGAGACAGAAGAAAACATTTTTAGTAAATATGTCACCATTTACAGGCAGTCAATTTTGCCTTTTTTTGAAAAAAGAAAACAAAGTAATCCCAACTCAAAACCAAAACACGCACCCTGTTTGAATCACATGGGGCAGGGGGCAACAGGAAAAAAGAGTTAAAGCCATTTGTCATTTCTTAGAAGACCTAAAAAAGCCTCATTCCCATATGAAAAAATACCTCCTGAGGCAGGAACAGCTAGCTACACACGAGCAGAAGTCACATCCTCTCTTTTAGATTCACTGAAGACAAGGACAAATTTCAAGTCTGAAAATTTGAGAAAGAAGAGAAGTCCAAAGACAGGAAATAATTAACCCCTTTCCTGACAATGAGTAATTTTGGATCTTCTGTTTTCACCAAACTGTACCCGAAAGCGACAAGATAAAATAAAATAAATGCATTTATGATGAAAAAAATGATATCCACTACTGGGGTTTAGTTATTAAAAAAGAAAATTAAAAATAAATAAATAAATAAAAATCAAGATTATAACTATTAAAGGCAAACATATAA